CCTGGCGTTGACTTACATGAATGCCAATGTGTGCCGCGTCCGCTGTCGTCGCCGCTAACGTCCTGTACCCATACTATCCTCCGGACGGCTTCCATCTCAAGCCCTGCCTCGCCACCCGCACGTTTCCTCAACCACGGCTCAGCACCTCGCGTGTCAGCGCAACATCAGAACCCGCTTCTCATAAGCTTTCCGAGTCTTCCTGGAACCTTGAGAGACCGCCATACATCCGGGCCTTGTTACATACCCGAGTTTTACGCATCCAACTGTCCGCAGAGGGTCTCGTCGCCACTAACAAAAGAGCCGCCGTGCAGGGCTCCAGCAGCGTCTTGCGACCACGGCCCCGTCTTTGCTGCTTCTCTCTCCATCTCGCTGTCCACCCCCCCACCGTGCTCTTCTTGAGGCCTCGTTTCCCTCTTTCTTCTGGATACCTGACGTTTCTGATCTTCCCTCGGGTTCATCATGCGCCAGGGCGGGTCGTTATGAACGTAAACCGTCATGATCCATCTACGGAGACTCCTCCTGTCAGCAGCGCACGAATAGAGTTCCCTGTAACGAGCCGCACGCGCCACTGGAGGTAGATCGCATTACCAGTGCTACGTCAACACACCGACTCAGCCAGCGCCCGTTGCGCCTCAGAGCATCTTGTTCTCCCGTTCTCCGGGACATATAAGCCGGGCCCGTCCCCATGGACCGCCGTGGCTCGGCCGGAGAAAATGGACTTTCACCGATCCAGTCTGCGCCGCCGAATCGGCGGCGTTTATCAATGGAGGAGGATATGCATTATCAGCACATCATGACAGCGTCTCAGCAGCGGCGTCCATCACAGCCGCCACCATACGAAGACGCCGACCTCACCAAGATGCCAAATGAAAGGGGAGGAGAGAGGGAAGGGGAGAGCAGTGACAAGGTTGAAGAGAGGGACTCGTTACCAGTCAAGAGCAGTTGGCTGAACCGCTTCAAGAGCAGGGGGAAGGAGTTGAAGGTGGCAAGGCCGAGCGATGGTTTGGACGATGAGACCAATAGTGGTCCCGGTATCATGGGCCGAAGCCTAAGTCACGATGACTTGCCAAGCTATTCAAGCTCTATTGCTATCGAAGGTGTATTCAACATGAAGCATGAGATCGAGAACACCACAAAAAGGGCAGAGGATCGGCAGTGGCATACCGTTTTCGTCGCCCTCAACGGAACCGCCCTCAGCATCTACGGTACTAAGAAGGACTGGAGCTGGGGTAAATCACGCGATGGCCCATCCATTTGTCCCGACAACCCGCCTTGGATTAGGAAGGCAAAATTAGAAAAGACATACAGTCTTCTACATGCTGATGCTGGTATTGCCGCCGATTATAAAAAGTGAGTTCCTCCTCCGTCAAAGCGAACTCATATATCCCGCATGTGAAAGCGAGGCGTTGTTGGGATATGGGAAGGAAATGAGAAGGATGGG